CGGAAGCTACAAGAGGCAATGAAGGATCCTCCCCTTGAGGCTTCAGAAGGAGACTGGCCCTGTCAACACCATGAGTTTGAACTTGTAGCCCCCAAGGCTGTGAAAGAACAGTTTTCTGTTGTTTTAAGCCACTCAGCTTGTGGTACTTTGTCATGGCAGCCCTGGGAAACTAACAGAGCAGGCCAGTTCTGCTGCCCGGAATGGCTTTTAGCCAGCTCTGTCACTGCCGTCATGCGGGCAATCAGGTGCGGCTGCTCTGTGAGCCCTGGAGGGGAACCCTTGTCCACTCATTGGGAAGGTCTGCAGGCCAGCCTGCCTCCCCGACTAGACTGTACGCTCCTTCCGGGCAGGGCCTGACCTATAGTAGGGCAGCACGATTCCTGGTACATCGTGGGAGCTAAGTCAGTGTAAGGTGAATGAAGACATAGTTGAGGAGTAATGAGACCCCCTCAGAGCCATCTACTCTTCCGCAGCCTGTTTTAGCTTGGATGGACATGGGAGAGTCCACAGAGAGGTTACAGCGTCGTCCCCATGGCACATTCCTATAGCTCTTCCACTGTCCAGCTCCCACCTGGCCCCACGTGAGCCTGAATAACTTGGGGAAATTCCTAACCTTCCCTTTCAATCTGGCCATTGGCTCTAGGAGTTTGCCACAACATAACTGCTCAGGTCCCTCCAACAAGGGGACTGTGTCTGTGGCTCGATGACTCATGTACACTGCTCCATCCCGCAGCCTTGGGCGGGACCCAGGGCTGGGGATAGTGCCAGCCAGGGCAGGCTAGGAGCTGGGACATCCCATTGCACCAGCCCAGTCCCCAGGAAGGGAGTGTGCTCAAGGCTTCAGGACAAAAATCTAGAAGCAGGGAGGCAACACTAACTTGAACTGAGATCTGAGTGATAAAAAGGAAGCAGACAGAGGGTGCAGTGAGTTCAAAGGCCCTGAGGTAGGAATGAGCTTGGCATGATCAGGAACTGAAAAGAAGGCAGAGGAGGCTGGGGCATGCTGAAAAGGGGGTCAGTGGTAGGACATGTGAGAAAACTGAGCTCACCTGGATAATCCAGGATAATCTCCCCATCTCGAGGTCCTTGATTTAATCATGTCTGCAAAGTCCCTTTTGCCATGTAAGGTAACATATTCCAGGTTCTGGGGAGCACAGCATAAACATCTACCCACCACAGTATCTCTCTCATCCCCTTATCTGCCCCTCTCAACTCCATTGCTGCATTTCTGTTTACCTATCCATCTACCTATTTGGATCTGACCATGGATCTACTAACCTTGTCACCTGGCCATAGTTTATCCCTCTTACCCCTTTATCAAGCATCAACAAGTTATTTATCGATCTCTCATTCCTCCATGGCTTTCATCTTTCAATCTGATAACTGCATCATCCCTCAGCCATCGGTCTAATAAACTGATTTTTAAACTCAATCTATCATTCAATTCTCCTCTGTCCATGATGAATTGTCAGTCACCTAGCTCCATATTTGCACATGCGTCGCATATGTGGACATTCTTTCTCAATGTCTACAAACAAATTCAATAAATATTCATGACTGCGTGTCATGTGCCCAATTCTAAGTCATGCGTGGGTGAGAAAGCTGGTTGATGACACCTCCCAGTAGCCACGCTGGGCCCTTCCTCATCATCGTCCTCATCACCGTCAGTGCCATCACTGTCAATCCGTGCACACTCTCCAGTTTTGTTATTCAAATAGGGATCATTTTTATATGGATTTACGAGACAAATCCAGGCTGTTCTGGTCTGCCTTTTGCTCACTAGCCATCCTGTGTATGAATAATGCAGACTCATTTTAACTTGATCTAGATAAAGTGTAGGTAGAAAACTCTATCTGCTGGGCAAGCATCTTATGCATCAAATAACAAATCCTAAAGTTAAATGGAAATTATTTTTAGGTTGTCTGGGCAAATAGCACAGAGGATGGCGACTCCAGAGACGTTCCATCAGGCAATGTTTGGGCCCATGCAAACACACACACACACACACACACACACACACAAACACATGCACGTGGGCACACACAAATGCACACATGGGAATAATCTCTCCTTCCCCTGCCCCACATAGTGGCTCCTTCCTGGCTCCTTCACACTCTTGTGTGCATGTGCACACACGGCCGAAGTGGACACTTCCGACGCTGACTTATGCCCTACCTCATCTTGTTTCTAGTATAGGAATCTCACCTCCCCACCTGAAACTGTGAGGTCCTCTAGGGCAAGGTGGTGCCTGCTCTTCCTTAGGGATACCCTTCCAGCCTGGCCAGCCAGAGGACAAGACACTTAAGAGCTGTTGGCCTTTCCTTGAACTCTGAGGGCAGCTGGGGATCAGGGAGATAAGGAGCTAGATGCCCAATGGTAAAGGCTCCCCAGGGAAGCCCCTACTGCCCAACATAGTCCCCTCCGCCCCCTATGAATCTGCCTCTCTTGCTCCAGGCGGATGCCAGGGTAATGCATGCTTTCCTTCCTCTGTAGAACTCTCCTAGAGGAATCGTATTAGGTGGGTCATCTGCTTGGAGCTGGCCTAGCTGGGGATCAGTTTGACAAGAATTCCCTTGTTTCTAAGCATCTCTGCTGCACAGGCATCCAGGCCAGTTCCTGTCCAAGCCTCTCCCCAGGGCCCTGGCTGGAGATCTAGCACATTTGGAAGCTGGTTGCCACCTACCAGAGCTGCAGGTCCTGGATGCCCACCAGTTTCAGTGTCCAAGGCCAACTCAGACTCACAAGTCACTTTGTCCACAGCCCTAAGGGAGGAACAGCTTGCTCACTAGTGCCTACAGGAGGCTCCCAAGGCATCCACCTTGTACCCTAGAGCACGTCCCAGCACTGGGAGGCTGGTTAAGGCCAGGACACCATTAATGAAGCCTTGACTGGAGTGAGGCATCTCAGGGCCAGCTGCCCTTGCTGCTTCCGATTCCACAGTGAGGCTTGGTTCCATGCACATACTTGACCCCATCCAAATCCAATTTATGCCCCTCCCCCATCCTGTGGTATCCTCAGGACAGGGACCTCATCTAACAACTCTGTAACCCGAAGCCTGCCCAAACCAACCACAGGAATTGTATGCAGAACAGATCTGCACCTGTGCACAGCTCACACCAACATCCTGCATGCCCAGAGCCCAAATCCTGGCCTCTAGCAGTCTCCACATCTGCCTCCCGGCCCAGAGCCCTCACTCAGTGGGTTTCATTAACTGTTGAGAGCCCAACGGGTAATGAATTATCCCCACATTTGTTTCCTGAGGAGCCAGGCTGGGCCAGGTATCCTCAAGCCAAATGTTCTGGGAAGAAATGATACTCCACCTGTCAGAGGAGGGACCTCCTCCAGGGGGCCAGGCTGCTCAGAAACTTCCCTTCTCACACTGGTTCCCAATCCCAGCCTGGCCCATGTTCAAGTCCCAGCAGGCTAAAGGCCAAATGGAGCTTTTCCATGCCCCTGCTGGAGTTCAGACTCCATGGGAAGGCTCTGGAATAGACTTAGAATCCCAGGCTGGGCCAGCTGGAGGAGCCCAGAAAGACCCTGACGCTGGGGACCAGAAGGGGCCAAACAGAACCCAGGCCACCCAGGAGTCAGCAATGGGGCGAGGCTAGAGGGCAGGTTTCTTGTGCTTGCCCTCCAAGACCACACTGTAGCCCATCACTGGGCTAGGGAAACATGACACCCCCCCCCCAGATGCTTCTGTCCCTGGAGAATTCTAAGCCCTGTGGGGTAAGCAACACTACCCAAATGCAAAGGGCTCCTTAGGGCTCCCTCAACAACCACAGGGTTGACTCCTCCTCCTTGTCTCCACAATTCCTACCCCACCCCTTCCCAGCTTCACTCCCTTCACTACAACACAGGCAACCGGTCACCAATTTGATGAGTCTCTTTCCAGATGCTTTGTTTTTTCTATGAAATTACATACATCTGTGTGTCTGTGTTCAAATAGAAATGTAGGCTTTTTAAGGTAGTTTTTATTTTTTTTAATTTATTTTTATTTATTTTTTTAAGGATTTTATTTATTTATTTGACAGAGAGAGACACAGCGAGAGAGGGAACACAAGCCAGAGGAGTAGGAGAGGGAGAAGCAGGCTTCCCGAGGAGCAGGGAGCCTGATGCGGGGCTCGATCCCAGGACCCTGGGATCATGACCTGAGCCAAAGGCAGGCGTTCAACGACTGAGCCACCCAGGCTCCCCTTTAAGGTATTTTTTAGGCTTTTAATTTTTTAATATGAGATCATATTGCACATTGTACGCTGAAATTTGCGTTTTGTTTTCAGGTATACAGCATAGTGTCTTGATATTTGCAAATCCCGAAAACCTGCTTTTCACTTAACACTATTATTAGGGCTCTTTCTACATGAAACATGCAAAACCATACAATGCTTCTTCCTTGCTGCCTTCTTTTTTGCACTCTGGTTTATTTAGCCAGTGCTCTGGTGATGGACATTCAAGCTATTCCCAGCTTCTCTTTTTCCTTTTTTAAAGATTTTATTTTTTTAAGTAACCTCTACACCCAACATGGGGCTTGAACTCACGACCCTGAGATCAAAAGTCTCATGCTCTACCTACTGAGCCAGCCAAGCACCCTTGTAATGACATTCTTAAACAGATCTTCTTGGGCCCACATCAGAGGGTCTCTCTGGGGTGGATTCCTAGAAGTAGACTGCATGTTTTCATCTCTTTCTTCCAACTTGGGACAACTGCAGATTCTCACCTTTCATCCTCAAGCAGCTTACGAGTATATTTTCCTGTACAAAGGGCACTTTCCTCTCAGGAAGAACCCTAGGGCCAGCTATTAACATCACATTCTGTGCCCCATTGCACTGCTGGGAACCAGAGAGACACTCCTCATCTCCCTGGATGGTCCTCCCCCCTCCCATCTCATCTAAATCGCTATCTATATGCAGGTCCATCTCCAGACCCTTCTCAGACTCTCTGGATCATTCCACGCCACAGGCTCCCAAGACTGCTTGTTTTACCTTGACCATCCTGCATATGCTTAAGGACTTGTCTTCCTCAATGGGCCAAAATCCCTTGAAGGTAAGATCTGGACCTGGAACTCACTGCCCTAAGATAAAGCCTTGTTTACATAAGTGCTTGCTAAATGCATGTTATTTCTAATAAAACCAGATTAGCTCCAGCATGGCTATGAATTCATCAGTAAATGCATGGGAAGGGTCTTCGTAAGGCTGCCAGATGAGGAGAGATTTGCTTCAATTTATCACAAACCCCAGGGAAAAGCCAAAGGGTTTTTCTTACACTGTTCAACTTGACTTGGAGCCAGTGCCTTTGATTCTTGGTGGTTCTTGGGTTGAGCCAGGCCCCTCAGCTCCACTCGGGGTGTCTCACACTTTGATGAGTGTCTGGTCAATCTGGCCCCTGACTTGGCCAGAGGTACTGCCTGCTGTCAGTTTCTGGGGAAGTGTTTAGAGGCCCCAGGGATCTTCTTTGCCTTTTGCCATCTGTGGCCACTGGGCTAGGTCTGAGAGTCTGAGAAGAGACAGGTGGCCTGGCTGGCACATCATGCAGACATCTCCTAGGGCTGGTCAGTACCATCTCTAAACCAGCTCCAGAGGGGTGCTTCTCCCAGGCATGCATTTGTAGCACCACAGAAAGTGGCAAGGCTGGATCTTGCCAGGGCAGTGTCTTAAGCCACAGATGCAGCCCTGGGCAGCTTTCCTATCTGTCCCAAATCCCACCTGCAGCTCCTGCCTGGAGCTTGGGAGGCAGAGCTGCTGGATTTGTTCTCTCCTGACTGCCAAATTATACGCTTTGCAAAAGACTTGGCACAGGGTAGGCAGCCAGGAAATAGTTACTGAATGACCAACAGAGTGAATTTCTACAGATACATGATGATCCATCTCTATAAACATGCATATTACAGAAAACTCATTTTCAGGTAAAATCTTGGAACAAGCTGTACCAACTATAAAATTTGCCACTCTCTCTTAAACCCACTTAATCAAACTTCCGGTCATGCCCCTCTGTTGACACGGCTTTTATCAATATCACCAGTGAGCCCGACATGGGTGAAACTAATGATCAGTTGTCAGTCCTTATCTCACCTTATTCCCCTCGGCAGCTTTGGACATAGAGCCTTCCTCCCTCCTGAAATGCTCTTACCTTGGTTTCCAGGACATTCCTCCTATCTCTCTGGATACCACTGCTTCCTTTTTACTTTCCCCTACCCACCCCCCAGTTTCTAAAAAATCACTACTACTATTTTTGAAGACTTTATTCTTAAGTAATCTCTACACCCAACATGGGGATCAAACTCACAGCCCTGAGACCAAGAGTCGCATGTTTTACTAATGAGCCAGGCAGGCGCCCCTCCCCCAATTTTGTTATTGTGGTGAAATACACATAACATAAATTTTACTACCTTAATCATGTTTTTTTAAGATTTTATTTAATTTATTGGACAGAGAGACAGCGAGAGAGGGAACACAAGCAAGGGCAGTGGGAGAGGGAGAAGCAGGCTTCCTGCTGAGCAGGGGATTGATCCCAAGACCCTGGGATCATAACCTGAGCTGAAGGCAGACGCTTAATGACTGAGCCACCCAGGAGCCCCTATCTTAATCATTTTTTTTTAAGATTTTATTTATTTATCAGAGAGAGAGAGACAGAGGCAGGCCGAGGGAGAAGTAGGCTCCTTGCTCAGCAAAGAGCCCGATGTGGGACTCGATCCCAGGACCCTGGGATCATGACCTGAGCCGAAGGCAGACGCTTAACCAACTGAGCCACCCGGGTGTCCCCTTAATCATTTTTAAGTGTACGGTTCAGTGATATTAAGTACATTCACACTGTTGTGCAGCCATCACCACCATTCATCTCTGGAACTCTTTCGTCTTGCAAAACTGAAACTGTACCCATTAAACGATGAGTCCCCATCTCCCCTCCCTACCCCAGCCCCTGGAAAACACCATTCTTCTTTCTGTCTCTGTGAATTTCACCACTCTAGACATCTACAGTATTTGTCTTTTGTGACTGGCTTATTTCACTTAGCATAAGGACCCAAAAGTTCATCCATGTTGTAGCATGTGTCAGAGTTTCCTTCTTTTTTAAGGCTGAATAATATTCCATTAGATGTCTATACTGCATTTTGCTTACCCATTCGTCCATTCATCCATCAATGGACACTTGGGTTGCTTCCACATTTTGGCTACTGTGAATAATGCTGCTATGAACACAAGTATACAAATGCCTCTTCAAGACCCTGTTTTCAATTCTTCTGAGTATATACCCAGAAATGGAATTGCTGGATCATATGGTAATTCTATTTTTAATTTTCTGAGGAATGGCCATACTGTTTTCCACAGCAGCAGTACTATTTTACATTCTCACTGACAGAGCACAACAAGGGTTCTAATTTCTCCACATCCTTGTCAACATGTGTTATTTTCTGTTTTCTAAAAATAGTAGCCATCTTGGGGCACCTGACTGGCTCAGTTGGTAGAGCATGGGATTCTTGATCTCAGGGCTGTGAGTTCAAACTCCACATTGGGTGTGGAGCCTACTTCAAAATAAAATAAAAAGGGGTGCTTGGGTGGCTCAGTCAGTTAAGCATTGGACTCTTGATTTTGGCTCAGGTCATGATCTCAGGGTAATGAGACTGAGCCCTGGGAAGGGCTCCACCCTCAGCGCTGAGTCTGCTTGAGATTTTCTCTCTCTCTCTCTCCCTCTGCCCCCACCCCAGCTCATGCCCTCTCTCTCTCTCAAATAAATAAATATAATCTTGGGCGCCTGGGTGGCTCAGATGGTTAAGCGTCTGCCTTCGGCTCGGGTTGTGATCCCAGGGTCCTGGGATCGAGTCCCGCATCGGGCTCCCTGCTCCTTGGGAGCCTGCTTCTCCCTCTGCCTCTCTCTCTCT